TTACAATTAAACATCCCACTCTTATCACAACCTCCTGGTCACTTTCTCCCACTACTTCCTGTCTTCAGTTTCTAATCCCTCAACAACTGTCAATTTTCTATCAATCAGAATTCCATCCTTTTGTTCCCTTTTCTCTATTCACACTAGAACCCCAGGGTAGAGCTTATCAATCTCTGTGCTCCCCATAGGCAAGATCCCTTGCCCCACTGTTTCCTGTCTTACCAGCCAGTCCTGGACCCTTCCAACTAGCCAGCATCTTGGTTCCTATACCCCTATTCCTAGAGAAAAATCCCACAACCACACAGAATGTGATACAGCACGGGCCAGTTGAAGTTGGAAACTATGCATTTACGGCATCATCAGACTCCCTCTGGACATACAAGCACTGCCTGCCTGATTTTCCACATACAACCGAAAAGTAAGATTCTGATTGGCTCAGCCTGCCCCTACTTGGGTAGAGCTTTTTCCTAGGGGAGAGAGCACGTGTCTGCTTAACTTCCCTCCTCCTGGAAACCCAATAAAATGAACAAAAAGGGAAACTCTAGTTTTAATACAGAAATAGCCACAAACCCAGTCTATGAATCTGGAAAACTACATACCATGTATAATAAAACCTAAAAGACCAAACCAAATGAGAACAACGAAATGGGATACATTTCTCTCGAAAGCACAGGTGACATGAAAGTTTTGAAGAACACTACTGAAGTCATTAACTTGGAGAAAGAATAAAGGACAAGGTGAGCCCTTTAAGAAGCAGGAAACATCTGAACTGGAGTCATCTTCATGCCTCAGAATGGTCGGGAAGGTGAGGTTGAAAAGGGGGGATCATTTTCATTTTCCCAGGCATCTGGTGGTCAATCTAAGCAGGTCAGAGAAGTAGCAGGCAAGGAATAGTCTGATCTGAGGAGAGCGCCCCCAGACAGGATCCTGCAACTAACAGATTCAGTAGAGATTAGCTGTCCCAGCTCACCCTGCCCCATAAGGCCACAGCCACCATCACTCCACGAACCCTCCTCCTAATCCCCCAAACAGTTAAGTATTTCAATAAAGATTAAAATCAGCTGGTACCCAACTTCCCTTTCTTGTCCTAAAGGATGAACTGAACTGATTCAATGTAAGCCAATAGAATTCAGCAGCACATTAAGGAAAACAAACTAATGTTATAATAAAACCACTTTCTAGTTAAAAATTTTAGTTGTCAGGTCTGAAAAAATTTTTCATATAAAAATTTAGCCTTATTCTAGGAATATATGAACAGTTTGAAATTAAGAAATCTATAGCCTGTAATCCTAGCACTCTGGGAGGCCAAGGCGGGTGGATCGCTCAAGGTCAGGAGTTCGAGACCAGCCTGAGCAAGAGCGAGACCCCGTCTCT